TCAACCTCTCGCCCCGTCAATGACTGCAGGGGAGACTCAGACACCTTTTTACTTCTTCTCGGATCTCTGCGACTTGGCACGAGGCAAAGACGATGGCTGTGGTCTGGTGTCATGTCTATGGTGTCATTTTAAAGTCAAGTACCTGCCTTTTAGAACAATGGGTTTACCTGTTGCAGTGACAGACAGTGACGTGAATGGCAGCCGCTGCTGGCTGCTTTGTGAACAAAAAAAAATGTGGACAGCAGTCGTTTTAACATGTTTTCTCCTACAGCGGTTTTACATTTCAAACGACAAATATTATTACTACAGCATTCAGTGATATCATAGTGTTTTTGGTTTGTTTGATTTAAGATTGCAAATGTTGACCACTCTGTGAATTATGTGTGCTTTACTGTTTTAAAATGTCCATGTTTTTGTTTAATAACTAAATCTATGTACATATAACGTAGACTTACTCACTACTTAACACTTTACATATATTTTTGTTTTATTAAAAAAAACATCAGTTTGTATTTTGAAGGACCTTTTTTGGCCTGGAAGAAGCTAAGTGTTTTAAATTAGTGTTTCTTGACAAAAATCCTTACATTTGGACCAATTTAAAATCTTGAAAAGTTGGGTCTACTTTAGTTCAGTTCAATGCTTTTACCCTGATTTATAATGAAAAACAAAGCACTTGATGTACACATGACTGAAATGCAATTCAAAATGTATGTTTAACAACAACCCACAGATAAACCTAACATGCTTTTAGCAGTTTTATTAAAGCTTAAGGTGTTGCTGTGGCCTTACAGACCCAGCGCAAACACTCGGAGCAGGGTTTTAGAAGAAGCCCTTGAACCAGGTCTTCTTCCTCTTGGAGTTGAGACTCTGAAGGTCCGTCAGCTGTGACTTCAAGGAGGATTCTGCTTTCTGCCACTCTTGCTCTTTCGCCTGCTGATGGTTTCAGCCTCGCGTTGATGCAGGGTGGATTTCTCCTCTTGCCCACTTTCCCCGCCTGGCAGATCCTTCCAAGTCCTCAGTGAGGCCTGAGGGAGGGTCGACATTACGTCCTCACTTCTGCTCTTCTTTATGCAGTGTGCGACACGTTGATTGAGTTCCTGAGGAGGGTGGCCTGTTCCCTTGCCATCGACCAATCCCTCCTCTTTTGGAGGTTCCACTCAATCGAGCTTTAAGTAGCTCTCTGTTTCTGCCATCCTCTTTCTCCATCTTTCTGATTATATCAGCCTTCTTTGTCCCGCGTGACGGTTAACCTGGCTCCTCCAATGTGAGCAATTATTCGCTCCATCTTGCCAGCCTTCTTTCAGATTGTTCCAAAAACTTGATTGCCTGTTGCTGGCTCCTCGACGAGCGCTCCGTAGGAGCGCCTTGTCCCAACTCCTCACAGCGTCAAGGAGATGATCCCCTTCAAGATGTTCTTCTGCTCCTGAAGCAAAGACACCAAAGGCTTTCCGAGGATGATCTCTAGCTGGCAAGAATGGATGACACTGGGATACCTTACAGTTGCAGTGAGAACTAATGTTTCCTCGCCACTGAGTACCTGTCTCAGCTCCTGCTGAGCCCATAGATGCGCAGGCGTACGGTCCGTTGAGCGAGACATCGTTTTCGGATTTCTCTGTCTCCTCACTTGGCAGGTCAGTTATCTCTCGCTGAAATAGGAGGCGTCATCTTGCAGGATATCTTCACGCCTCTTTTTCAGGGCTGCTGTGATCTTCCTGGTCTCGCTCCTCTTTCCAATTCGGATAACTCTCCAAAACTCCAACTCTATGTTGGTTTTTGACAAGCCAGACATAAGTTTTATACAGCACAGAGCTACACTTTATAAAGGATTCCATTTTAACTGCACTTAATGCATGCTCAAATGTGAGAGTGCATTGTCTTAATGATTTAACGAGGATTATGAATTCATTGAGGATCACTGAGAGGGATCAGTCGAATCAATACTCGCTATGAATCGAGAGGCGCTTCAGAGCCAGAGATCTTCCGCCCTTTTTCAGGGCTGCTGTGGTCTTCCTGGTCTTCGCTCTTTCCAATTCAAGAAGATGGCATCCCAAACTCCACGTTCGTTTTTGCCACACAGAGCAACTTGGTCGGATAAAACACAGAATCTCACTCTGAAGGGACCATGGATTTTCAAAATGAAACCATCATGATGCATCCAAACAGCCCAATACTGCTAGTTACATATTGTATGATCGA